CCTCTGACCCAAGCATGAATGGTTTCTCCTTTCCTCAAGACCAGTGCGTTGAGATAAAGTTTCGCACCCAGACTGCAGTCCGAACCAACTTTTCCCCACTCTCTTTTCCCCTTGTTTGACACATGCTGTAAGAAGGCATTTAGAAAAGGCAAAGAAGGTTTGTTTAATACCAGTTTTACGAGCATGAGGGTGACCTTGTGGTCTCACCTCTTTGGACAAAGATCCAGTATCATAGCTTTTCTATGGCACAGGAGGAGGTGGCTCAGCCCATTATAACTGTGCCAGCGCAGAGGAGAAAATACCAGTTGTCCATTTTAATTCCACTTCTGACCCCCTGGTCTGTAGCCTTGCAGGTTCCAGTGCTTCAGGTGCAGATCGAGGTTCCTTTTAATTAAGTTGAGGGTCATTGCCTCCACCATCAAACCAGGCAGAAAATTCCAGAACACGGGCTAAGAAAGCATTTCCTCTTGTTCCCTCTTAAATCCTTCCTTAAATCTGTGTCCCCCTAATAATTGACCTCTCTGCTTTGGGAAATGGGACTTCCTGTCTATTTGTCTCTAGGCTCCTGATAATTTTGTCCATTTCACTTAAGTAACTCCTCAGCCTTCTCTGGTTCCCCAAGCCTCTCCACTCTTTCCTCATAGTTACAGTTATCAAGGCCTGGCCACATTCATTATATATGTCTCCAAAATCAATCACTTTGCAAGCAGGATGTATTTAAAGAAACTGCCTCTTGTTTGTCAATTAAAATTTCTTTTGACGTCTGACCACGCTGTATAGAATCTCAAAGGATGGGTTTGCATGTCGAAAGCTCCCTTGACAGGAAGCCCTGCTCAACTCCTATTCCACTATCCAGCTCTGATCCTCCCTCTTACACCCAATTATTCTGCCCTGAAACTTCTTTCAGTCGTCTCTACTTCAAAGAAAAACATTTCATTCCATCTTCTCTCGCATTGAAAACAAGAGGAAGTGTCCAGTCAGCTTAATTCTTACGTTTTTTTCAAAAAGAACCTTACATTTTCTGTTCGAACCAGAACTGTCACTCACTACACAGAACACAGTGAGAATCACTCCACCAGCTGACCCAGACTAGGCCTGGGATGATCACGCAAACAGGGACATTGACCCGTTCCTTTCCTGTGAGATACTGTGAATAATATGTAACAACCAGGGAATCCCAGGTGATTGTCTTCTTCCGGGACATAATCCATGAAAAGTTGCCTGTTCACCCACATTCTCTGAGGGTTAATTCCACAATGTACATTGCTACAAGCATTCTGTCTGAATTGTACAATCTTCTAGGTCTTGACATTTTCTGAATTTGGAGTTTCTTGTGTAAATTAACAATAAAATATAATATCTTATTCAAATTTGAATTTTCTAATCAGCCCCACCTTCACAAAACAGAACAAGTTCAGAGCATTAATGATTCCTCATCATTCAGTTTGCTATAATATTGTACTACTCACCCAGACCTCTAAGACGGCACCTTCCAAACATGTAACCTCTCTCGGGGCAGCAGATACGTGGGAATGCCACACCCTGCAAGTTGCCCTCCAAGCCACTCACCATCCTGACTGGGAAATATATTACCGTTCCTTCACTGTCACTGGGGCAAAATCCTGGAATACACTTACTAACAGCACGAACACAGGCATTACAGTATCACCTTCTGCAGGGCAGTTAGGGACAGGCAATAAATGCTGGCCCAGCCAGCAACACCTACATAAGAACATAAGCAATAGGAGCAGGAGTAGGCCATCCGGCCCATCAAGCCTGCTCCGCCTTTCAATAAGATCATGGCTGACCTTTTCATGGCCTCAGCTTGCCTTACCCAGCTTCTCACCATAACCCTTAAACCCTTTACTGTTCAAAAAATGATCTAACCTATCTTTAAAAACATTCAGCGAGGTAGCCTCAACTACTTCACTGGGCAGGGAATTCCACAGATTCACAACCCTTTGGGATGAGAAGTTCCTTCTCAACTCAGTCCTAAATCTGCTCCCCCTTATTTTGAGGCTATGCCCCCAGTTCTAGTCTCACCTACCAGTGGAACTATCCTCTCTGCCTCAATTTGATCTACTCCCTTTGTAATTTTATACGTTTCTGTAAGATGCCCCCTCATTCTTCTAAATTCCAATGAGTATAGTCCCAGTCTACTCAATCTCTCCTCTTAAGCCAACCATCTCAATTCTGTAATCAACCTAGTGAACCTCCTCTGCACCCCCTCCAGTGCCAATACATCCTTTCTCAAGTAAGGAGACCAAAATTATACACAGTACTCCAGGTATGGCCTCACTAGCACCCTATACAGCTTCAAAATTACATCCCTGCTTTTAAACACCATCCTCTAGCAATAAAGGACAAAATTCCGAACGAATAAGAAAACCCCTCAGCTTCCCCATCTGATATCCTTTTGCAGTTTAGAAAAAAATGGTTGTAGAAGTCTAATTTCTGGGCAGGCCAAAGGAAGAGATCACTTCGTTTTTGACACTAAATGTTAACATCAAGCACCTCCAGGTCATATCTATATACAATTAGATGTAGTGAAGCCCTCCCTGCATTCTGCTTTCATAATGTATCTTGATTCCAAGATGAACAGGGCTAATACTTTAGGGACACATGTTCAAATCCCACCAGGGCAATTGGTGGAATTTAAATTTAATTAAGGTAGAATGAAATATAACGTTTGCGTCAGTATTGGTGACCATGAAACTATCATCGATTGTTATACAAACCCATCTGGGGGTTTACTAATGTCCTTTAGAGAAGGAAACTGCTGCCCTGTGATCTGACCTACATGTGAGTCCAGACCCACAGCAATGTGGTTGACTCTTAACTGCCCTCTGGGCAATTAGGGATGGGCAATAAATGCTAGTTTAGCCAGTGATACCCACATCCAATGAAAGCATCATGAACAAAGCTCCTTATTTCTTGCCCTGCACCACCAATGGCTTTCTCTGTCTCTCTGGGCCAGCAGCTGGTCGATCAAAGCTTTCTTTGTGTGTTGGAGTCACACTCAATGTGGATGAGGTTTGGATTCTGCATAAAATACACCCCTTCACCTGCAGCTACAGACCCAAGAGATTTCCTTCCCATCAGTTGGGGGGCTGGTATTCAAACCCAGGCCCCATAAGCAATGAGACATGTTCTTTCCACTCAGTTCCCTGGAATCCCACCTTCCCATTCCTGTAGGTGCTAGGTTACAATTCATTTGAGGTAAGTAACCATTTGATGACTTCAAGAATTTAACTTAGGAGCAAATTACTGCAGATGCTGGAATCTGAACTGAAAACAAAAAATGTTGGAAATCACAGCGGGTCAGACAGCATCCATGGAGAGAGAGCAAGCTAACGTTTCAGCTCTGATGAAGAGTCATCTAGACTTGAAACGTTAGCTTGCTCTCTCCCCATGGATATTGCCTGACACGCATTTCAAGTATTTCAAGAATTTAACTTCCTCAAAACCCTTTCACTTTCACCAAGTTAAAGTCTAACTCAACCTATTGGTGAGCATCAGTTGGCTATTAGACTACATGAGGCAACTTAGCCCAGTCTATCCTCATGCCTGGCCATCTGTACCTGACTGGTAGCTCACTAGATGGCACTTGGGAAATGGCTTCAAAGGTTATCTGAGGTCGTCTCGCCCATACACCTGAGGGGGATCAGGGTCAGTCACAGGAGAATGGATTTTTTTGATGGGACAGTCCTCCAACGACACTACCACCTAGTCATTATTAGTCAGTCACTACACACAGACAGCACATGCAAAACTGAATATTGCTTGATTATTTCATATCCCTCTGGTTAAACATTTCAGCAAGATCTTTTATTGCAAACAGGTGCCCCCATCCTGTAATACAGCAGGTAAATGAGTGAAAGCAAAAATACTATAGATGGAGGAAATCAAAAACAAACACAGAGAATGCTGGAGAAACTCAGCAGGTCTATGGAGAGAGAAACAGAGTTAATGTGTCACGTCCAGTATAACTCCTCAGAACTGTGTTTTTACTGTCCCCTGGTCCCCCTCTCCAGTTCTGAGGCAAGGTCAAATTGGATTTGAAAGATTAACTCTATTTCTCTTTCTCCCTGGATGCTGCCAGACCTGCCGAGTTTCTCCAGCAATTTCTGAGCAGGTAAAGGGAATTCACTATAAAGTGCTTTAAACTCCAGCCACTGAGAGCCTAACTGCAGACTGAAGGAACCCCCTGATTTTGTAGCATTGATACTTTACTGCCATTTCTGAAATGGTGACGTTTAAACATTTTGAAAATCTCACATCATGTTTTTAAAAGCATGCACTATTTTTATGAATAAATAGAAACTAGAAGCGCCCTGATATTTTTAGATAATGTGGTGTGTTTAACATTCCTGTCGTTGTAGCCTGAGATTGCAGAAGGAAGTGGCTCATTCTTCAACCAGATACAGTTTTTGCTTTAAAACTTTTGTCTCTCTCCCCAGGCACCTTTCCATCCCTCTTTCTCTCCCTCCCATTCTCACTCTCTCCCACCCTCTCCCACTCTCACTCTCTCCCTCCCATTCTCACTCTCTCCCACCCTCTCCCACTCCCATCCTCTCCCACCCTCTCCCACTCTCTCCCTTCCATTCTCACTCTCTCCCACCCTCTCCCACTCCCACCCTCTCCCTCCCATTCTCACTCTCTTTCATTCCTTACCCCATTCACCCCCCTCCCCCTCTCTCCCACTTTCCCTCTCTCACTCCCTCACTCTCCCTCCCTCTCTCTCTGACTGCTACTCCCTCCCTCTTTCTTCCTCCCCCACTCTCGCTCCCTCTCCCATTCTCCCTCGCTCTCCTAAACCCATTCTCACTCCCTTCCCCTCTCTCTCACCTTCCCTCTGTCACTCTCTGCCTCTGTATCTCACTCCCTTCCTTTTTGACTCCTTCGCTCTCTCTCACTCCCTCCCTTCCTGTCTCCCACTCTCAGTCTCTCTCTCTCCCATTCCCTCTCCCTCCCCCCTTCTCTCTCCCTGTCTGTCTTTCTCATTCCTTCTTTTTGAAACAGTAGACCCCATACAGTCGCCGCTTCTTGTCTGGGAAGCCGAAGGTGCGGACCCCTGGCTTCTTGCCACCGCACTTGTCCCGGGGGTTGACAATGGGGTAGCGGACACTACCATCCTGTAACCAGCCAGGCTGGCAGCGGTCTAGTAACTGCAGCTTCCATGCTGCATACAGCTGGCCCACCTTGGCAATGGTCACTCCATGCTTCTCACACGCCTTCACCGCCTCACCATAGTTCAGCTTCCGATAGGTCCTCAGAAAATAAACTTTACCTTCACCAGAAACAAACACAAACATTACAAAGTTCCATTAACATGTCTGAATAAAACACCCTTCATATTGCTTGTGCATCCTCCACTGTTTTGGAGTGCCGAAGAATGAATTGCAATCACATAGCGCCTATCGCGAACTCAAGCAGTCCCACTGCCCTTTTTTTGTAAGTTGTAATGTAGGAAAGACAGCAGCCAATTTGAGCACAGCAAACGTCAACGTGATAATGAACAGATCATTTGTTTTATTGAGGTGAGGGCTGGGTGAACAGTATTGACGAGCTCACAAGGAGATTATCCAGTTGGGAATTGTACCATTTGATTGTTTGCATTCACCCCAACGGACTGAATGAGGTCACAGTTTAACATGGCAATCAACAGATTAGTGCTCCTCCCTGCCAGCCTAGATCAGGCGTTCAAGATTCTGGACTTTCTGTGGTCAGAAGGTGGAAGAGCCAGCTGGAGTGGAAAGGGTTAATACTAAAATAAGTAAAGCGTCAGTCTCAGATCACCATAACAGACATTCTGTGTACAGCCTCCTGCACAACCTACAGGCTGAAGAATGTTTAATATCATTTAGAATCATACCAATAGCTGAGGATCCAGCAGTCTGTATCTATCCCAACCAAGGTCACAGCCTGCATTGCAGGTTTATTGAATGAACTGAATATAAACTCTCCTTGGGTTGTCTGGATCACATTCCACTGACATGTGGTAAACACTGGGACTTCTGGTGAAATACTGTGCAGAAAGTGATATCAACTACTCAAGCAGTGGGAGTCGGGTACAGTTATAACACTTGAAAGACATTTAGACAGGTACGTGGATAGGAAAGGTATAAAGGGATATGGGCCAAACACAGGCAAATGGAATTAGTTCAGTTTAGGAAACTTGATTGGCATGGAGAGTTACTAGAGGACACAGGGTCAAGGTGCAGCCGGGGTTGGGGAGAGTTTAAAAGAGACGTGCGAGACAAGTTTGTCACACAAAGGGTGGTGAGTGCCTGGAACGTGCTGCCAGAGGAGCTGGTAGAAGCAGACACAATAGCAATATTCAAGAAGCGGGGCAGCACGGTGGCTCAGTGGTTAGCACTGCTGCCTCACAGCACCAGGGACCCGGGTTTGATTCCAGCCTTGGGTGACTGTCTGTGTGGAGTTGGCACATTCTCCCCATGTCTGTGTGGGTTTCCTCCAGGTGTTCTGGTTTCCGCCCACAGTCCAAAGATGTGCAGGTTAGGTGGATTGGCCATGCTAAGTTGCCCATTGAGATGTGTAGATTAGGTGGGTTATAGGGGAATGGGTTTGGGTGGGATGCTCTGAGGTTCAGTGTGGACTTGTTGGGCCGAAGGGCCTGTTTCCACATTGTAGGGGTTCTATGATTCTATGAGGCACCTGACAAATACATGAATAGGAAGGGAATAGAGGGATACAGATCCTGTAAGTGAAGACAGTTTTAGTATGGAAGGGCAAAATGTGTCAGTGCAGGCTTGGAGGGCCAAATGGCCTGTTCCTGAGCTGTATTGTTCTTTCTTCTTTTTTGAGTAGGGCATAAGGTTCTGTTTCTGCGCTGTATGTCTATGACTTCTCCAGGACCCACAGCAACGATAACAGAATTCCCACAAAGCAAAACTAAATGCCTGAAACTGTGGCTCATTGGATTGACAATAGGCCATTAGTGTCACGGGATTAGTAACTGTGTTCATCTTCCCTTTCACAGGATGTGGGCATTACTGGCAAGACCCATTCCTAATTGTCCCTTAACTGAGAGGCTTGCTAGACCATTTCAGAGGGAGTTACGAGTCAACCATTTGCCATTGGACTGGAGTTACATAGGCTAGGCAATCACAGCAGATTCCCTTCCACAAGAGGATATTCATGAAATAAATTGTTTTGTTTTAACAACAATTGATGATAGCTTCACAGTCATCATTACTGAGACTAACCTTCTAATTCCTGATTTGTTAATTGAATTTGAATTCCATCGGTTGCCATGGTAGGATTTAAGCTTATATCCCATAGTATGAGCCCAGAGAGTGCTATGCTCCAAGTGATATTATCACTGGACTGGAGAGATTAATCATAACGAGAGATTGGACACACTGGGGTTGTTTTCCTTGAAGCAGAGGAGACCGAGTGGGAACATGATTGAGATATATAAAATTGAGGGACATAGGACTGACTGGAAGGAACTTTCCCCCTTGGTGGAGGGATTAATAACTGGGGGCATAGATTTAAGGTAAGCGATAGGAGCTTCAGAGGAAATGTGAGGGGAAAAGATTTCACCCACAGGGTCGTGGGAAACTGGAACTCACTGCCTGTGAGGGTGGTAGAGGCAGAAACCCAAATAACATTGGAGAAGTACTTAGATGTGCACTTGTGATGTCAAGGCATACATGGGTATGGCCCAAGTGCTGGAAAATGGAATTAGAATAGTTAGGCACTTGTTTTTGACCAGCAAAGACTTGAAGGACTGAAGGGCTTTTTTTCTATGCTCTGTGCCGCCATCCCCCACAATATGCGCCAACACATGCGAAAGAGTTTTCAGTTGAAGACTATCCAACAGTACTCCTCGTATCTGAGCATTTCCTTAGGTTTGCTCAACATGAATCAATGACCTCTCACCTTTCAGGTTGGAGGTGAAACAGAAAGCATCATATCGCTCATCATCTTTGTGCCGGTAGCCATAGTTCCGAACGCCAGCGGCCTGGTCCGACTTGCCACACTGGAGCTGGGGCTTTGAAATTGGGTATTGGACAGAACCATCATTCAACCAGCCGGCATTACACCAATCCAGTCCTTTCAGCCACGCCTCATGCAGCTGCTCGTAAGAGGCCAGTATCCCATCCTGCTCCTCGCACGCTTTCTTAGCATCTTCAAAATTTAATGTGTAATGCCCCAGCCTTGGATGGTAAGGAAACACCACACCTTTAATTGAATTAAAGGCACCATTACACACAGGAGGCAGAAAGAGAGGGCGCAGCGCACAGTACTGGCTACTTTGGATTGCCCGGGTGGTGGGCTTCATTATTTAACGACAAGGAAACTTCCTACAGCCTGGATTCGAAATACCCACAGACCATAAGTGACATAGATTGGTCTGGGATTGCCTACATACGCATCGCGACCTGAATTTCTTTGTCAAACTGACAGACAATTCCTATCACCCAAGGCCCATTTTCACCCCTCCCCCAATAAGGAAAAAGCATAAATGTGCAAATGACACATACTGTTGTGACTTTATTTTGTTAACCTGTGAGACATAGACATTGTTGGCTGGACCAGCATTTATTGCCCATCGCTACTAGCACTTGAGAAGGGGGTGTTGAGCTGAACGCTGCAGTCCATGTGCTGTAGGTAGACCAACAATGCCATTGCAGAGATAGTTCTAGCTTTTTGACACTGAAGGAGCAGTGATGTATTTCCAAATTAGGATGGTGAGCGGCTTGGAGGGGAACTTGTAGGTGATGGTGTTCCCTTCTGTCTGCTGCCCTTGTCCTTATAGATGGAAGTGGTTGAGGGTTTGGAAGGTGCTGTCTCTGGATTTTGTTACAGTGCATCTTGTAGATAGTACACACTCTTGCAACTGAGCTTAAGTGATGGGGGGAGTGGATGTGGAGCCAATCAAGTGAGCTGCTTTAGCATGGATGGTATTGATGTTCTTAAGTGTTGTTGGAGCTGCACCCATCTAGGCAAGTATTCCATCACACTCCTGATTTGTGCCTTGTAGACGGTGGACAGGTTTTGGGGAGTCATGGGGTGAGTTACTTGCCATAGTGTTAGCCTCTGACTTGCTGTTGTAGCCACTGTGTTTATATGAAGAGTTTCTGATCAGTGCTAACCCCCAGGATGACACTGGGCAATTCAGGGATAGTAACACCACTGAACATCAGGTTTGTTGTTAGATTATCTCTCATTGGAGATGGTCATGGTTTGGCATTTGTGTGGCATGAATGTTATAATCAATTGTGTATACCTCGAAATGGAACATTGTCCTATCTGTGCGTTAACTTCCAAGTACAGAGGTTCAGCTATAACGTGTGTTCCAGCAATGCGAATTAGTTATAACGAATAGGGATACTGTATTTCTAAAACGCGAACTTGTGTTGGCTATAACATGATTCCATTGGTGCACATCAACTTTACACGATCGTTTTGTGGGCTTTGTCCTGAGCGTGTGCAACGTTAATGGCGAAAGAGTCTCCGTGCTGGCATCATGTGATCATCGTGCTTCCTCGGATGGGTACAGTACTCCATTTGTTTCTTGCACATTCTGCCATGTTACCCACAAAAATGCAAGGACAAAGTGACAAGAACGTTAGCAAGAAGCGTCCTGGTGATAAAATTGCAGGTGGTGAACATATAAGAAAGGCTATAACACTGGAAGAGAAGCTAGATGTTATGAAGTGTTTTGAGTGTAATGAGAGAACATGTGATATAGTTTGCGTAACAGGAATAAAGGAGTCTACCTTATGCATCATTACAGACAATGCAGAAAAGATTAAAGCAAGCTGTATTTGCTGGAACAAGTCTGAGTGCCAGCAAATCTGTGAGGTCATGGACAAAGGAACTTGTGAAGATGGAGCGGCTTCTAAGTGTATGGATAGAATTTCGAACAAAGTAGCGATCTGGGGCCAGCTTTCTCATCCTAAAAGAGAAAGCCTTATCAATTTCTGAAGATCTAACAAACAAAAGCTGAAAATCCTGCAGATATGCTTGCCTTTAGTGCTAGCAGTGTCTGGTTTGCTGCTTTTAATAACTATTATGCTTTTCATAATGTAAAGTTATGTGGTGAAGCTGCCTGTGCAGACAAGGAGCGTGCGATGGTATTTCCTCCCATAGTAATAAATAATTAATTGACAAAGAAGGCTGCAACTTAGATCAAATTTTCAATTTGGATGAGACAGGTTTATACTGGAAGCGAATGCCATCAAGAAACCTACATTGCTATGAATGAAGCACATGCTCCAGGCTTTAAGGTGGCAAAGGATCATATGACTGTGCTGCTGGGTGCCAATGCCAGTGGAGACTTATAGCTTAAGCTGTAGTGGTGGACCACTCTGCCAACTGCGAGCCTTGGAAGGTTACCTTAAGTCTACTCTAGGCATCTACTCTAGGTCAAGCAAAAGGGGTTGGATGGTGAGTCAAATTCTTTTTGACTTTATTGTTGATGTTTTGGAAGATGTTTTTAGAAAGTATTGCAAGGAAAAATAATTGGATTTCAAGATTCTCCTCATCCTGGAAGATGCGCCAAACCATCCTCCCACCATTGGTGAGCTTTCTGAAAACATCAAAGTGCTATTTCTACACCCAAACACAACCTCTCTCCTTCAATCCATGGACCGGGGTGCAATAGCAGCTTTTAAAGCTTATTATTTAAGGCACACGTTTAAGAGTCTAATGGCAGCCACTGAGGGGGATAAGGACAGTGTTCTTCAATTTTGGAAGAGCTTTAACATCAAGAATGCAATTGACATTATCGTGGAGGCCTGGGGTGATGTCAGTAAGGGCTACCTGCATGCAGTTTGGTCGAAGCTTCTTCCAGATTTTCTTCAAGATTTTAAAGGCTTTGATCCATCAGAGGAGCTCCCTAGAATCAAAGAACATTGTGTTGATCTTGCAAAGCAAGTTGGATTTGAAGACGTGGAGAGTGAGGATGTTGAAGAGCTGCTTGAGTCCCACTGTGAAGACCTCTCTACAGCTGATCTACAACAACTTGTTGCTGAGGGGGAAGTGAAAGCTGGAGATGAAGAAGATAAAGTCCAAGATGCAGTGCCACGAGAACTTTCCACTTCTGTTTTGTCTTCTATCCTGAGGGAAATTGAGAAGCTGTTGCAGCTTTTAGAGGACAACGATTATAATGCAGAATGCAGCAGGGTAGCAGTTTGTGGAATAAGATCTTATTTGGCACCCTATGAACAGCTTCTTCATGAAAGAAGGAAAAGGTCAATGCAACAAAAACTGAATGTGTTTTTTAAGCCAACCCATAAGAAACAGTGAGAAGACCATGAACCACAGCCAGCCACTTCTGGATTCACTATTTGTCACCCTAACCCTGCAACTACAACTGCACCTGAAAGTGATAATGAGGGTGATGATGATGATGACTCTTGACCCCTGCATTAACAACAGAGCAACCTCAAAATCTCCTCCCCCATCAAGTCATCTTGACATTTTTTCCAAGGAAAGGTGTTAAATTTACTTTTATTTCATTACTAGATATGAATTAAACATTTATTCCAAAACAAAGTTGCTAGAAAAGCTCAGCAGATCTGGCAGCATCTGTGAAGGGAAAAACAGAGTTAATGTTTCCGGTCCAGTGACCCTTCCTTGAGCTTTTCTAGCAACTTTGTTTTTGTTCCTGATTTACAGCATTTGCAGTTCTTTCATTAATTTTTAATTAAACATTTATTCAAACTGTTCTATCCTTTGTGTTAGACTTTTGAGTGATTTTTGAGTGATATTTTGAGTGATTTGGAGTGATATTTTTTGGTGGTCTGCCCCAGCCTCACTTTTCCCATAGGCTCCATTATTTTTATAGCACAATTTTACATAATGCAATGTTGCAACAGGATGCAACTATCGTGTTATAGCAAAACCCCCTGTATTCCTGCTTTTTTTTTCTTCATTATCCCTCTGGGCCACGAACCAATTCCGGCCCTCACTGTATCTGGGGCAGAAGTCATTGGTGCTACAGGATTTACACCTCACTGGACTGAGAGCAGTGGAGGCTTTGAGACACAGATCAATTAGCCCAGGGCTTGATGTAATGTATGAGAAACAATAACTTGGTCCTTCAGTAGGAGTAATGAAACATTAAACTGTATCAGTGATTGGACTACAGATTGGATTAAGTGAAGTATGCGTGTATGAGTTCACTTGAAATGGCAAATGATCCTTGTCACTCTGCTAGTTAAGAGAAGTAAGAGAGGGAAACTGGGAATTATAGACCAGTCAACCTAACTCCTGTTGTCTATAATTAAGAGTAGATGACTGAACACTTTGAACTTTTGCAGCTGATTGTGGATTTGTACAGGACAGGTTATATTTATGAAGATAGTAGGAACTGCTGATGCTGGAGAATCTGAGATAACAAGGTGTAGAGCGGGATGAACACAGCAGGCCAAGCAGCATCAGAGGAGCAGGAAAGCGGACGTTTCGGGTC